TCACTTCTCCCGTCCCTCCTCCTTATACTACGCCGAACAGCTCCCGAAAATTTCCCCAGTAGCGTCACAAGTAGCTTGTTACATGAATACCCCGTTCTTTGGAGGTATAAAGCACGGTTATTTGCGTAGTCCGACAACGTGTGTGAAAGTTTTTGAACACAGCAACAAATTTTTCAGTATCATTTGTATATCTTAGTTTTTTGGTTCCCTCCAAGGTTTACTATTCAACTTTGATTTTCTTCATCTGAGTGCTATTGACAACTCGTTCATGAAGTCTTTTTTTGGCAAGGTCTTCCTGTGTAACAGCTTTTTCAGACCTTTAATACAATTAGACATACGCAGTACTGCCATCTTTAGTAAATTAAGTTCATCGTAAGCACTAAGCAAGCTTTCTCACAATAACTTCGTCAAGTTCTTAATGCAGTGTGTCTGACAAGGGAACCCCAACAGGTCGATCCGGCCATTTGCAGTGAGATGTATAAATATGGACGTGTCTTGAGCCGCCGAATCCAAATCTGCCCCTCCGATTTTGCGGAACGATTCTCCAAAGGGAGTTACGGACCATTTAATCTTAGCTCCTGCTCAAGTTGAGAAGGATAACTGCATGCGGCAAGCCGCCGATGGCCTAGTGGATAAGTGCATTGCTTCAGAGACACGAGGTCGAATGTTGGAATCCTTGGCTATCGAAATCTTTTGCTTTTCATTCAAAACACTTGGTATGAGCCCTCCGAAATTTCTATTTGGCCATTTCGCCTAATTTCTTGATTAGTTGCCAACGAAAGGCGGGCGATTCCCCATGGGTTCCTCTTGAAAACTTTTTTATTATGAGGATAACCACATGTCACAAGGGTTTTTGCAATGAAATACCATCATATTCATGTTCAGCGGGTCAAACTACCCCTGGGGACAAATTTCTAGCCGAATCTGATATTTCCACCTAACTTGGAAAATGTGTGCTGTTTCATGGGTAATCGAAAGCATAGGGGAGCTCACCTACCGTTGGTGAATGGTCTCGAGATGGAACTACCTGGTAAAGAGGACGATGATGCAAACGGCAAGAATAAGTAAGCCGGGTAATGTCTTTGCGAAAAGGCACATGAAGAGGTATTTCAGTTGGAAAACCAGTCATCATCAGTATGGTAGTCGTAGTATCGCTTTGGCTATCAGTCAGCCACAGCTATTCATAACCCATTTTCTCGAAAATGAGTTAGAACCTCGGATTCCGCTGGGGTGACGTCTCTAGGGGTTATTTGACCCCCTGAACACGAATATGATACCTGTTTTGCGCGAAGAGCGCTGTGAGTTGCGCTACAGGTGCTAACGCTTTGGCGCTGGCGCCCGGAAGAAGAAAAGCAATAAAGAAAAACCTCACAACTCCGCTCAGAGAATCGTTCCGCAAATTTTAAAGATAGTCTTGTGTTCATCGTGGCAAGGTGAGTACAATGATGTACATTTCGTTGCAAATGGCCGGGCTGACGTGTTGGCCTTTCCTGGTCAGCTTGTGCAAACACAGCAAAGATTAAATGGTCCGTAACTCCCTTCAGAGAATCGTTCCGCAAAATCGGAGGGCAGATTCGGATTCAGCGGCTCAAGACACGTCCATACGTATACATCTCATTGTAAATGGCCGGATCGACCTGTTGGGGTTCCCTTGTGAGACCTACAAATGTAATGCAGTGTAACGTAATGCACACTGTGTTGCAGAACTTGACAAATTGCTTTCGATGACTTTGATGTTGTGAAGATGGTAATACTGCTCATGTTCAATTGTTTCAAAGTCTGGAGAAGCTGTTATTCAGCGAAAGCTAACCGGAAAGATTGCATGAACCAGTCCTCAATAGCACTTTAAAGAAAAATATCTTATAGGACATGTGGCTGAGGGATAGGGATTCGATTCTCTCGTATTAAATAAATACGTAAATAGAAGAATATCGAAGTCTGGTCCATTACATAGGCGAGGAAATACAGTAAATACCTTTGAAGGCAAAGGCTTGCCCTATACGACTAGGAATGTCATTCGTAATTCGCTGTCGTGTGAAACAGCCCAAATGCTGAATTATCTTCACTTCCGACAAAATATAGAGGGGGTAGCGGATAGTGGCTACTTCATCATTGATAAGGAGAAGGGAGGTGTGTAAGTGCCCAAAACGCCAATTCGTTCAAAATGTTCATTACCTAAAACGCCGAGTCGCAAAGTATGAGCGCACCCTCACAAAGTTTGCCGTGTGATGCACTCGACAGGTTATTTTGGCAAAGGTTCAACAGTAATAGCCTTGAAGTTTTATTGTTTCTTGTATGACCGTCAGTCCAAACAGAACGGGCAACGTCAGGAAAACAACAAAAAGCTTCTTAACTGACATCTAAGAAAAGCTAAAAAACGTAAAAACTGAAGCTAATAAAAAATTACAACTGAGAACTTAATAGAGAACATTGATAGATAAGGATCCTATTAACCTATGAGGACAACATATAATGACCCCAACGTGGCTAAGGCACACGAGAGAACCGCTGCTATGGTCGCGAAATGAGTAGTGAGTAAACAAGTGAAACCTGGCCCCCGATACATGAGGAAAATGGTAACCGAAAATCAAAACAAGTGGATGGTGCTAGGGATAACACCACATACAGGGGCAGCAGGGCACGCCTGTATACCTGAAGCTGGGTTTTCGGATGCCATATTCCCTACCCCTAACAACCCAGCTTGGCCCACTATCCGACTGAAGGTAGCTTCATAAGGAACGAGAGGCGAGGTCACTTACAAGGGAGGTCTTTGAGGTCGTGGCGCGTTTTTTAAAAATGGTTTGTTGCTTGTTGTAGGGGTCCATGCAAGGTTTACAAAAATGGGTTTCATTTTTGCTATGCGTTTCTGGGGAGGTCAAAAACTGAGTGAAAACAATTTGACGAGAAATCGCGATTTTAACCGTGTTAATGGGCTCTGTTGTAGCTGTAACTTTGACAGTGCATAATTCATGAGGTGTCCCTTCACTATGTATTGAAAAGATAGCAAAGTAAAGCCAATAAGAAAGTGGACGGAGGGGAGTAATACCGTTACTTGAACGATTCTCGCAACCGCGTTGGCGGATGGCGGAGTGGATAGTGCGGTGGGCTCTCGCGAAGAAGGTTCTTGGATCGGATCCCCTTGGCGACTAACTCTTTGCATTTTTCGGATACTTTATACGTTTTTCGGTTTTGGATTTACGACACCCATTTTTGACCACGGCGCAGCCTAGCGCCGACTTGCTGCAAGAGCATTCTTCCACTGAATTGTTGCCAACCCGCACGCAGGGGCTGTTAAGCGCTCATCTCGAGGAGAAAATTTTTGCTGAAAGTTGTATATAGAGGTTATTAATGGCCCTGATGACGATTCTGACCTTTAAAATTGGCGTCTAGGTCATTTGGCGCCAACATGGCTCTGAACACCCCCCTCACGCCAGCTGCGGGTTGGGATGCTGCGAGAATCTCTTGAGAAACTACAATGCTGCCTCACTATGTGCCAAATAAAGTACTTTTTTACCTTGAATTGTATTGTTTTCGATGCAGTGTCGACGAAGGTCTCATCTGCTATGCATACTTAACATTATGAATAGAAAAAGCCTCGGAAAAATGGTTCAAAATCGCTTCTCCCCAGCAAACTTTGCACTCATTTTTGACCTACCCAGAAACGCATAGCAAAAATGAAACCCATTTTTGTGATCCTTATTCGGACCTCTACAACATGCAACAAATCATTTCCGAAAAGCGCGCCACGACCTGAAAGACCTCCCTTGTTAGAGGGAAGAAATAAGTAGGCACGGGGCCATGCAACGGTAACTAGCGTGCGTCCGACCCACTAGAACTCAGGGAAAAAAGTATTACGGCTTAATATCAAAATTCAGAATCTCTTATTGTATAGAGAGTTCGGTTCAATCAGATCGCTAGAGTATAGAAATTGTGTCTTTTTAGGAGCGTATATTGAGCCTGAACTCTAGGCTTAGAGACATTATTGTGTATTTTTGAATATGACAACGACGAGCTGAAAATGGGAGGACACTGGGGAAATAGGTTCAGTATTATTTTGAGGTAATTACTTATAATGATTGTTGCCCTACAAATTTCTCTTGTAAGCTCTGCGTTATTAAGGAGTATACCGCCCGAGCACCAAAGTGTTCTGGACAGTCGTTTGAAAGAATTAGAAGAAAATGGATTTATAAATTATTTTGGTACAGTGTTTACTTGTCTTTTCACTTGAAGGTTTCTTGTGGTGGAATTGCTTTTTATCCAGGGATGCAACGTTTCGGTTCCTGCGGTACAAGTACAGCCGAGGTGGGTAAACATATATTGAAAAGGAATTGGGAAGCTGCTGTGGCGCTCATTCTCAGCAATGATAATCTACCTGGTGAGGTTCTTTTTGCTGGTACTCTGTAGCGTTATTACCTTCACACTTACTATTTTGACAGTGTACCATCTCTGTCTGATATCTGACCAGTAATAGAAAAGTAAATGGAATTCTCAAACTTTCGTGCTCAAGTTTCAACTCAGGGTACCTTGGCACCGTGGGGGATGCTCTCCGATGCTGGAAAGAAACAAAGGATGCGTCGAAGGCACTTCGATTCTTGAAGGGAAGCCAAGCATATGCATCAATAGAAGCCATCATATTCAAGTGCCTTGCCAAGGGTGGAACGTGGCAGAAGGTAAACTGTCCAATTTACTTCTGCTTTTGATCCTACTGTCTGTACTTCCTCTAGTTCCAAATCATTCGAAATGATGCTCTTTCCTTTGATCCCTCTCTTGTTTTCTGGATGGGATGGGAATGGGGGTGGAGGGCGCGGTGAAGAGACTAAGGATGTGTCTTTACCTAGCAGACGAGTGGATGCACTCTCGCGTTATTCTTTTTCGCCCAGCGGGATCTGCTGTTTCTGCTACAATGACCAGTGCCAATTCAAAATGCCGACCAAACTTAATCAGCATCACACTTTAATGTTCTCTGCTTTTTTGGTCATGGTTATAAAGGGTGAATTCCAAGTGAACTGGTCGTTTGCGATGGGTCGTATAGCATTAGATGTGCTTTCTCGCTCTAATTTCAATTCTGCTTTCAAATCTGCGGAAGATTGACGGAGTTACAAGGTTTTTTCTTCACGCTGTCGCACATAGTACTGGTGTGGGTGGGGGAGGAAATCTCAATGACTTTGAGAAAGATGATCGTATAATTAAAGAAAAGTGAAAAGTGCTAGGTAGACTCATGGTGTACGGTTTGGGTGCCGATTGGCCACGTCGTCCTGGGGACTATCTTTATTGTTAAGTGCTGACCATGAGCTGTAACATCCATACCAACGTTTTTGGCAGAATACACATGTCACAAAGTATGAGGAGACGTCTAAATCGCCTGATGAAAAGGTGGTTGGTCACGATTATCGTGAAAATTATCTTTGTGTTCTTCTCATTCCTATACACGGAGCTGTTGGAGGTGATGAGGTGGCAGTTGGCACGCTTACCGCTTGCCCCCCCCCCCTCATCCTTTCATTCTGGACCTGCTCACGCCCAGGGCAAGCAAGCGTTCTATCCTCCGGCAGCTGTTAATTGCTACCTGGGAGGTGTGAACGCTAATTGTACATCGACTGCCCCCCGTCCTCCCCTCCTGCCCATGACAATGTATTTTAGTATTTTCCGAATCGCATTTAATAAGCCACTACGGTTCTGAATGGAAGAAGAATACGTGCAACATCCCAAAAAGCGACTATAAGTGGAAGGATACTTCTATGTAGCTCTTGTATATTACACTGACTTGGTCCACTAGTGATAATTTTGTCCAACACGCGCTTCTTTTTGGGCCACGCTGTTTGCTTTTTTGCTAGTTGTCATGGGTACTCTGGAATGATTGAACTTTTAGTGTATCGTTGAAGCGCTACCTATTAACCTCAGGAGTTTATATGTGCATGCCTATCAGAGTCTGTTGTGGAACAAGGTTGGTCGATCTTCAAAGCCTCCATTGTTATATTTAGAACCACCTCGAGCTTATTCAAATAGGTTGTTTCCCGTCGAATATCTGAAGGAGGAGCTACAGTAACTCCAGACGATGTGGGACAAGATGGGAAAAAGCTTTCCGAAAATGCTTCACAATTTGACATTTACATACCACTTCCCGGAGAGGCCGTCAATTTCGAGAAAAATTACGGTGAGGAGTATTTGATTGAAATTCTTATGTTTCTGATAGGCGATAGAGTTGCATTGTTCTATAAATTTTATAGTGTCACAGTGGTATGAGGAAATGCTAGCTGAGGATGGATTATCGAATTCTTCGTTCTCTACTCTTGAGGAGTTAGTTGTAGCAGATTGTTACCAAGATTATGCCAGTCAAACTAGAACAACTTTTCAGTCGGTTCGCTCTAGGAGAGACCGCGCGACCAATGTTGATACGTCCACTCGATGTGAAATGGAAATTCATCCGATATTCTAATCCTAGAGCGTACTTACAAGTAGGTCACTTGCTCCATGAAGTTTTGGAAGTTCGAAGAGCAGATTGAATCATGCTAATATAGTGCTGTTTTATGATGGAATAACGACACGAGCTATTGACGAAAGCGAAAGGATCGGAGATTTAATGGCAGTTCAAGTGCAGTTCAGTTTGCCTTCGGGTTGTTACGCAACTGTAGCACTACGGCAAATTACAGGGACCGATATGGGAAAGAATTCCATGAAGGTAGGTGAGCAAGAATAAATAAATAAATAAATAAATATCAGTTAATAGCATGAACTCGTAAGTACGTAGATGACTAAATAATACGTCTCAAACAGATTCGTGCGTATTGTCCTTTCCAAACCCTAAACAAACATCTGCTTGCATGGATAAAAGCACCTGAAATCAGAATTTACACCTTTCCACCACCTCTGCGTAGGAGCGTAATGCACGGCGCACACTCGGACCAAATCGATCAGTGATAGCCGAGCTCCTCTTTCACTCATTTGAAGGGAAATATGTGTTTTGAAGGCACACTGAAGTTTCCGAAGGTGTATCCTCACAATGGCACAGAAGGAGTCGATTTTTCAGAGGGTAGCGCGTCTGTGACCCATCTAAAATATCTCCTGAACTAGCGGGTCTTCAGGAAAACTGTAAAGCTTATTGGAAAGAGAAAAGATAGGGCGGTTTCAAGACGATTTTAATCCTGATTGAAATTCGAAATAAGTAATCCTCGTGTGAAGCATAAAAACCCGCTTGCCATTTACCCCTAGCCGATCCGAAACCCATCCGAAATATTTCACGAACGGGGAAACATTCAGATTGCAACTGGAAACGCAACAGTAGGAACATTCCCGTTGCATGCTGCTAACCATTCATCAAAAGCCGCGCCCCTCAAAGAGATATAACCCCCGAAAAGACCCCAGGACGTTGGCAGGCCCAACAACCGCGCTCCAATGACGTTTTTCCAATGAAAGCGGTCGCAACGTTGCGATCGATAATAGCCAAGTATAGAACGATATACTGCCGCCTGGTTATCCTTTTTTCATTTGGCTCCGCATTTTTTTGTATTTTTCATGTTTCGCTTTGTTGTGTCGTGCATGTTTTCATGATTTCCCCGTCACCATTCATTGAATGCACATCTGGGGCCTGACACGCTGACCTTGGGGCTATTTTTTTCACCAATTTAGCTTATCAATGATCACCATTAGTCGCTGTTTCGATTGTGTTCCTTGTTACAAGTTGCATGTCATACATGGTTATCGAACGAGGAGTTTTATTTTGAATCCTAAGACAAAATTGTAGGTAATGCGAGGCTGTTGTTCAGCCTCATATTGCATTTTAGAGCAGAGTGCGCCTTTCGAGAATCCAGATTCCATTTCAGGAAGCCATTTGTGGTGAACATGCATCTGGTTGTCAGTTAGAGCAGGAGGGGGGGGGTCGTAACTGGACCCTCTTCGAGGGGGGGGGTCGTACTCACACCGCCATTTTGCACATCCCCACGCTGTACCTGTGAGCGCAGCCTCAACGGAATGGCAGGCGATATAGGTGACTGGTGCGTGGGAGACATTCCTAGTTGGGCAATTCCCACAGCAAACGCCGCGCGTATGAGTACGGCTTTGATGCCCGAAGACTGTGCGAATATGATAGTGAATCTGCTCGTTCAACTGTAGTATTCGCTTAGTAAGGGCTGTATTTTCTAAGAGAAGCGAAGATACCGATAAATACTTTTATTCGAGTTTTCAACGCATAAGAAAGTGAATTATTTCAAGATGACCCGTGTAAGTTCGTGGCATGCTCTGCTTCATTTGCTCGAACCCATTTAATTTTACAAATTAAAAACTGTTTTTCTCTTTTTTTGCCATTCAGTGTTACTTGGTCCATTCAAAAAAGATAGACCGCGATCTGGTTACCTCTGGGGCAGCGATAAACTGGTTTCTGTAAATAAAATGACTGCCTACTGTTCAAAGATTCCCTAGATTCTTTATAGACTCACGCGGATGCCGCTAGAAACGATTGGACGAACAGCCAGAATGATGGTCTCGACGTATGCGAAACCGCTTTGGAGAACAAGGAACGGAAAGCCGAGTGCTTTCAGGAAGATGTATCTAAGGATTTAGTTGATCATAAATTAGTTAAAGTTGACGAGTGAAGTTTTTAATTTGGAGGGTTTGTTTCACTCGAATGGGCGCCGTGACATTGTTGATATTTGTTTGTACTTTGTTGTCATATATTTCAACTTGTTGATTTTGATGAAAATTTGGACTCCACACTTTGCTTGAGTATTGCTTTGGTTTTCATCCTCTCTTCTAAAATCACGTGTGAAGAACTCACGCAAAGTAACTTCTTCACAGATGAAGGTGAGCATAAAGAACAGGACAGATGGAACCGTGTTCCAACTCGAGATTGACGCTAGCGCAACGATGGGCGAACTTCGCTCAAGAATCTCGTCCCATCTTGAGAAGTCGTGAGTGCTTTGTAGCGATTCTTTTCATACACATCATCCCAGCGAACCTATTTCCTCTTACAGTTGTGACCCGAGGTCGCTGAAGCTTTCACTTGGCGATCAGCTGTTGGACCACGCGGATTCTGTGACTCTCAAGAAGGCAGGCCTCGTGAGTGGTGACCGGCTCTTCATGGAAATGTGCGTTGTTCATAGCATCTGTGTTAGCAACCTAACAAAGTATTCACACTGCACATCACAACGATGGAGTAAGCGGCTGCTGCTTATGTTACTTGAACATTGCATGGGATGCCTTGTCCGTGGAATATTTCTGTTGATAAAATTACTGCATTTTCTTACACTGAGCAAATTCGAATTTGCAGCTGTTCCAAAACTGCTATCTCCCACTTAAATGAAATACGCAGCCACGGACTCTCCATCTCTGGGCAATGAGGTGTGCAATCTCCATAATAGATAATAATACAGAATCGTAGGTTTGTGGTCCCGGAGCCAGGAGGTCATTGGAACCTAAACGTGGAACCATGATGAGACACCAAAAAGTCATTGCAAAAACGGCCAAGAAGTAATCCAGAACTTTTGCATATAGTCTCGTTCACAGCGGACAAAGGGGCGTCTCAGGCGGGTTGCATTTGGCGCAGTGCTAAACCCGCTCTCCACCAGTTCTTGAATCAAGAAAATCACAAGGCTATATCTTATTGTTCGCATCACTCGTTTTCTATTAAATGTGGTCGCTCAACCTCTGCAGTAACTGGCAGAGAACGGGTTTAGCGCCGTAGCACACTCACACTGCCTGACACTCCTCCTTTCTGCAGCGAACCAGGGTATAGTTAGTCCTTTCTCCGGATATTTCGGTACTTGCAATTAGCACATTCCTCAGTGACTGAAATACAGCAATTAGAAGAATGAAGTTTTTGCTACTTCCATTCGAGCTTGACTCTTGACATCAGAGTCAATACTACAAGGCGGGGTTTACGTAAGGGTAGTTGCTTCATATTGGCGAAGCCGGGTCCAGGCCGATAAGAGATAGCACAAAACATTTTTTCCTAGTATTTCAGAGCGTTGAAGCCAACTATACGCCGAATCTTTAGAGGAGCAACATAGGAACAGCGCATTCTCAAACTGATCCATCTGCTTGACATATCCACTAAAAGATTTACATCAGATTTACATCGTTGTTTGTTCTTTTCAGAGACTCTTGCACATCCGACGCTGCAAAAGCAGAGCCTCAAGATCTGAAAGCTGGAACTTCGAATGACGACGATGACGCCGCGATGAAGTCTGATGAAGAAACGGATGCGACCACAGTTTTTCGCGATGATGTTGTTCGAGCTGCAAGGGAATATATGGAAAATTCTGGATATTCTGTTAGTAAGCTCAATAGCTGCAGTATCTCGATCACAGGTTCAGGTCAGGTCAAACTGTTATTTAGAACTCATCGCTGCAGTCATGGTCTACAAGTAATGTCACCGGTGCTGAACTCCGTTTTGAACTTCGCACTCGAAATAGAACATCGGATATTTTCATTGTTATAACAACGCTACCTCAGCCGAAATTTGTCCGCTATTGTAAATGTCGGAAGGATCGTAGGTGAGTTTTTCTGGTACATTTATTTATTTGTTGCACGCATAGGTGCGCTTTTACAACGCTTGGGTTGTACTAAATCGAATTGCAACTACAATATTAGCTTATACTGAACTGAGAAAAAGACAATCGCCGAAATAGGTGAAAGTTCTCCCGTGAGTTCTTCGCCAGAAGAAAAAAAAAGACTAATAAGAAAGCCAGCTCTTCGCAAATTGTCCTCTGAACTGCGTATTTCCTCACTGACTCAATGAATGACAGTTAAGTTTCGGAAACCAACACTAACTTCTTCACAGACTAGCCTGTCTGACTGGAGGGGCCCCTAGATGTAGGCTCCAGCGGTGAATGATAACCATACCAGCTAGAGATCTCTTTACCATGGCACAGCTTAAGTTAAGTAAGATCCATGTAATATTGCACAGGTAGTGACGAAACAACCAAAGAAAACATAAACAAAGAGCAGATATTGCAGCAATACATTACCAGTGGCGTAAACATAACTAGAGCGCGTACCAACATTTCCTTACCTAATGGCTTGCATATTGAGGCTCTTTTGTGAGAGCGAGAAGTTTTCCATTTCGCGTCTTTTTTTCCTATCTAATTTGCTTCTAGTCATCTCAGTAATGAACTGAGATCGTCAAATTGAAGGAGTGAAGGTATTCAATAAGTTTGTTCCAGATTTGTCGCGTAAACTTCTTTCGTCGTTCACTGTACAGCCAGCATCCATCAAGGACAATGTAACTAATGGAGTTGCAATCGCATTATCTGGTTCAGGTGAGCTTCGTTGTGCAGATCTTATTGTTCAGTTTATTTACAAGGCGTCGCGACGTGTCAATTAAAAGCACTTTTCGCGTTCATTTTATTTGCAGACCGCTATCATGAACAAAGCTGTTTGGTCCGTAAATCCAGACGTGCCACTTTCGTGTCTCAAGAGTGCGTTGTAAGGCTGCGTTCATACGCGAAAATTCTGCGGAATCCGGGATTTCGCTGAACCTTTGCGAGTGAACGCGGCTCACCTAGTGTTCTGCCAATCCTG